GGGCTTTGATGCCTGAAAACTTTCAATAAGTTAGACTGAAATGCATTAAAATAGCCAGCTGATTTCTTTAAATGAAGCCTTTTTTGAAAGGGCACTATTTGTTAAAAATCAGAGCTTCTAGTCCAATTTTTAACTTTAACTTGATAAAATAAATAATCCATTGATCAGAAATCACCTAAATAAAAGCAATCGATTGAATTCATTAGTCAAACTTAAAAATTGTATTAAAGGAAATGATTGAAATTTATATTCATAGAATTATCGAATGGAACTGTGATTCATTTTAAGAACTGTTAATAAATGCTGCTAAAAAGGGAAACAATTATTAATAAGAAATGAATAATTGTTTTTTCACTCGTTTTTCGGTCAATAATGCTTTTAAAATCTCTCAGTAACATCTTTACGATATCTTTTAAAGATTTTAATTTTAATGATTTCATGGTTTTATGATAAATGTTACTCTTGTTTTATCCCCTTTTCTTAAAACATTCAAAATAGAGTATATGTGAGAGTGGGAAAGAAAATTATAAGGATACTAAAGGTAAAAGAACTAGATTATAAACATTTTTCATCACTTTTTTCTTTATTTTACACAGGTAGTACCATGAAGTACCTACCTGGTTCCAGTTGATTGCTCACTTCGACGGTGTCTCTTCATTTCTTTCAATTAGGACATTGCATAAATTGGAGTGTGTCTTGAAAGTAATTCTGTCATTTCACAATAATTTTTTCTCAATTTTATCGGCTCTTTTTTTCTTCTTATTTCTATTTCATTTTTTAATTACAAAAATTTAATGTAATGAATATCTTTACAGTTCGTTTCTCTTTTAAGTATTTTAGTATATGAAATTTTGCAAAACAACAAATGGCTGCGTATCATTTCATTTTTGTTCGGTCATTCAAAGAAATGATTGAAATTAGAAAAATCATTTTAGAATCTCATTTTTGTCATCATTTAGCAGCATTTATTAAACAGTTCTTCAAATGAATCACACTTCGTTTCGACAACTTTATGAATATAAATTTCAATCATTTCCTTTAATACAATTTTTAAGTTTGACTAATGAATTCAATCGATTGCTTTTATTTAGGTGATTTCTGATCAATGGATTATTTATTTTATCAAGTTAAAGTTAAAATTTTGACTACAAGCTCTGATTTTTAATAAATAGTACCCTTTCAAAAAGGCTTCAATTAAAGAAATCAGCTGACTATTTTAATGTATTTCAATTTAACTTATTGAAAGTTTTCAGACAACGAAGTCCTCATTTCAAAATATCGGAAGTCCAGAAATCATACATTAAATATCTTCAAATGTCAATAACTTCCTCTAAGTTCGAATAGTCTATTGCCTTTACAGCAAATTATAATTGTTATTTAACAAATGTAAAAATTCGATTGTTTACAAGGTGAAAATTAAGATTTATTGAAGAACTACAAAAAAAAAAGTTTCATTAAATGGTTGTAAAATGAAATGGCATAAATTTTGAAGAAGGAAAATTCGAAATGGAAAAAATATAATTTGATAGCATACTTCTTTTCCTGCATAAATATCAATGAAATTGTAACGGAGAATTTTGGGAAGAAGGAAGCGAAGGCTAATGATTTTAATTTTATAATAAAAGGAGAAAGTATGACCTTTGATGAGAACAAGTCTATTCTGTGATAAAATATTTGTATACATCAAAAAAAGAGTGTTTAAGATTAGTTATTTTAGAGGCTACAATAAGAAAGATATAAAAATTTTTAAAATATTTAAAATGATACGTGCAAATATCCGAATAATGAAATGAACGCATTTTCTATTTCAGTTTCATTGATGAAATTAACTGAGAAAAGAACAAATTGAATGAAACATTAAAATATATCGCATTTTTTTAGTATACAATTTTCATTTCATTAGGAGGACAGGTGCCATTAAAAGGTGAGCTATAAAATTAACGTATAATATTATTGACAGAAATTTTTAGACTTTACGAATTGCTTGTTGGTCGTTTTCCATCAGATCACATTCTACGAAACGTAAAAATTCCCGTGCTAATTCTAAAATGGCTGGTTGGTATGAATAGATTTTGCAATGAACCAAAATATTTCTCAACTGTCATTTCCAATTGCAAGTATATTTTTTTTTAAAAAGCTATTTAAAAAGTTAATAATTTTTGCTTCTTATAATTAAGTACTTCATATAGTATAACAGTAAGCATTTAATAATTTCATTTAAGTATTTATATTTATTCATTTGTTTTCTTATTATTGCAGCTATATTATTATTTAAACTTTTGTTTTTGTCTTATTTGTCTGTTTGAAGCAACTGGTTTATATATACTCAAGAATTTAATTCTTTTCAGAATTGATGGTCATTTCCTTGGTGGTCATGATTTCCACATTAAATATCCACGATGATTCACAGATCGTTTTCCGACATTCCTGAAGGATCCTGAAAATTCTCAGTACATTAATGGTTAATGCAAATGAAATTGATTTTTACTCAAATTTCAACTCAGATGTAAGAATAGAATAAAATACGCTTTTCATTTCAAAATTTACTATATTGTTTGATTTATTTTTGATCAACTGAAGCGTGAATTATAATAATTCTATGAGGAAAGATATCAACAATTAAAAATACTGGAAATATCAACCTTAGCGTATACAATAATAAATGCTTCATAAGGTTGATAAGTTCTACGTTATGGCGAACAATATAATAAAGAAATGCCCGAATAGACAAATTCTAGTATTAATTGGTTCATTACCAACCGCATAATTTTTGGCAAAACGGCAGCATAACTGAACCTAAGGTGATGGTTCAAGTGCAAAAGTTATTATTAAAATTCTAAAAGATGTTGATGAATCATACCTTAAGTTGACAACCACACAAAAATGTACTTTGTCAAAATTAGTGCTACAAAGCGATTCGGTGTCAACAAGAATATGAAATGGAATATAGCAAAAAATGAAAATTTCTTGAAATTGGGGATACATGGTTAATCCATACTGTTTGACTTGTTGAAAATATAAGCAAATTGATTGATTTAAAAGAGTTTAAATTATTCCTTACTGTATTATAAAGCTTTTAACAAAGACAGCGTATTCCATTTAATAAATTTAATGTTTCGTGCGTCAAGATTAATCAAACCCTTTATTAAATAATAAACCTTCACAACTACTCGATTCAACCAACCCAAAAATCTCCCTCAAAAAGAATCGTATGAAAAGTTCACAATATATTTTGATGACAAGCCAAAAAAAACATGAATTATCAAACCATTCATATCCTATCAAACTTGAACCAATACTTCAACAAGAAATCCCAAGTTATTCTCCGAGATCAACCAGTGAAGAAAAGTCGAGTATTCGACTCTATTCAATTCTGTCTATAATATAAGGCTAGGAAAAAAATCAAAAAGAATAATGCTGACATGAATAATAATAATAAACTTGAAAATTAATTAATACAAGTAAAAATTCTTTTTGTCCATATTATACGTGTATTTACATATTTTGATCTTAAACTTGCAAAATATAACTTGCAATTTATTTCAACGGCGAAAAATTGAATCGAATTAAATTATGAATAGAATTCTTTATCGATATTTATCTTATTTATATTTTCAATATTTGGTTTTCTCCTTTGCAGTCAAATTTCAGAATGGATCGATTCTTTTGTTTCTTTTTGTAAACATCGTCAACCTTTTCTTTCGTATTTCATTTACATCGCAAAATTTCATCTTCTCTTTTCCTTTTTTTCTGCTTAATTATTTTTGCAAAAATTTCATACTGTATGACATATTTAAATTTTGTACGAAAATGTAATGTTCATCGAAGATTTTATGATAAGCGAGTTCAAAATATTGGCAAAAAGAAATGAATAACAAATAATTGAAATTGTTTTACTAATATGCAAAAAATTCATTGACATTATTTTAAATTATGCAATTTTGGTTAGCATATGAGTTGTTGTTGTTGTTGTTATTAGTAAAATATCAAAATCATTTAATAATAGTTTGTGCCGTAAATTTAGACAATGTGCTATACAATAATTACATTTAATTAATTAATAATTTAAGCAGAAATAAAAGAAGAAATCTAATTTTGCATAATTATTAAATGATTTTCATGATGACACTTTCAAGAAGAACACAAAATTTTGTAATTTTTGCACAATTATTTTATCAAATTTACGAATTTTAATAATTTCTCTTTCTTTCCATCAAATGTTTTAATTTTAACAGAAAATCAAGAATTATTATTTAGTATGAAATGAATAATTGAGCAAATTAATATACTAAATTCAAGCTTTGATATAACATAAATAATTTGACTAATTAAATGCTAAATTCAAATTTTCTATATGCTCAAAAACTGAAGGGTATTGGTAAAATAATCATAATAATAATTATAATAATAAACGACCATGAATAATGGTGAATAATTAATAAACATGAATGATAGTAGTAATCAATAAATATAAATAATAATGAATAAATGATACCGAATAATAATGAATAATTAATAATCATGAATAATATTAGATAATGATAATAATAAATAATGAAGAGTAATAATAATAATAATTAGGCATAGAATTACAAAACTTTTTCTAAATGAAAAAGATAATTTGAAAGTATTAGAATTCGAATAACTGTTTTCTTGTTTAATGCAAAAAAGAAGATTAATGTATCAATTTATTGTTAGTACCTTTTCCGATATTTTATTTTTCATAATATTTTAATCATTTGATAATTGCAAAGAGAAAGATATTAAAATGAAATGATAACATAGCAAATGATAGCATTTACTATGTTACGAAATTTTTACAATTATCAAATGATAAAACTTGAAATTAAACAATTTTTATTGCTCAAAGATAAGGATGATATATATAATAATAATAATAATTATAAGGATGATATATATAATAATAATTATAATAACAATTGCTATCATTTTTTTCTTCATTTTGATCTAACAATAACGGTAATCAATAATTGATATTATCACGATAATACTTGAGTTGATATTTGGCACATTTCGGTAGCATTACCATAGATGTAAATATTTTGTCCCACACCACAGCAACGAATCTTTTCATTATGTAAAATTTCATAGGACTGCGTAAAAAATGGTCGGAGGTAGCATGGTGGTGTAAAATGAACTGTCAAAATTTCTTGTACTGCCAAATAGGCACTTACAATGCCAGCTATTAATGCGGTCACTGAAACGAAAGAAGAAAACAGTACCGATTAATTATTCATCTTCATTAATTAAATATTTAATTCACAAAATATACTAATAGAAGGTGTAAATTGAGGTCAACAAATAAATTAATGATGTCATCATCGTTTAAAATTGAAAAAGAGGCTATGAAATAAATAAAGAAGAGATTTATTAATTAATCTGAAGAAAATTAATTTTACCATTTTAATTAATATAATTTATTGCATTTTATTATGTTTGTTTCAATTTTATTTATTTTGCTAAAAAGAAAAACAATAAAATCAAAAAGGTATTTGCAAAATTTTAGTGAAAATAAAAAATATCAAAAAATATTAAATTGAATATTAACAAAAAGTATAAAATCTATCAAATATATTCTTTGTTTTATTTGAAATTATTAATTAGTTACTAATGAAGTCAGTTGAGTCTTTGACATCATTATTGAATTTCTATTTGAAATTCTTTGGCTTCGTTAGTAATTGTAAAATAATTTATGTGAAATTGAAAATGAAAATACTTACTAATAATAAAACCATTCCATAGCAATTTTTTAATATCAGTCCTTCGTATAACTCTGCAAGAATATCGTTAAATATGATGAATTTTCAATTTATCAATAATTTAATAATCTTATCAAATATTTCGATAAATGTTTGCTTTTTGTTGAAATTCAGTTTTCCGTCGGTTTCAGCAAAACTGATAATGAGAATATTAGGAATTTATGTATTTGCACTTACTCAGGAAATGTTGGTATTTTGTAATCGCCGGTTTTTTCATCAATACTCATTGCATTTAGATATAAATTTGTTAATGCTGGCAATAAAACACAAGTTGGTGGATTTGTTAATGCACCAACTAAATTCATAAATGGTCCAAAATCGGGTACAGTTAGAGCACAAAATAGTATTGTGAATAGTACACCGGAACGGATTAGCACACGTTCAATTCCAAATGCTATAAGAAAATGAAAATAAAAATAAATGAAGTAAAAATGGTAATATGTTAATAATTCTAATTTAAAATATGAATTAATTATTAAAAATGAATCAAATTTGCAAGCTTGTTATTACACATCCAATTTAATAATTTATATTTAACTTTTAATGTTAAAATGATAGTTCAAATATGACTAATGAAATTATTATTATATATATATATATGTACTTCATGTATACTTCTTGTATCATGTATATATATTATACATAACAGGGTTTATCAAATTTCATTAGATTGGAAAATATGAATTATTTGATTAAGAAATTGAATTTTAAAGTATAGCCATAAGAAATTGTACTTCTGACATTTTCATTGTCTACTAAAAATATTCAAACTTTGTTTTTGAAAGTTAAAAGACTAACAATGTGGTGCATTGAAGAAATGTTCAGCTTGTTGATTTAACGGATTAACCATAATGATTAAAGCAAAAATACAATGAATAGCTATGGTTAAATTAGCCGCATGCCGGATCCATGATGTTTGGATGGAATCGATTATCGAACTATACATGCTGCTACCGTATGTCAAATAACCGTAAACCGATAATGGCATATACAATAATGTCACAACTAAAAATTTAGAAGAAATTCATCGATAATATTATGAAATTGCAATGAATCAGTTGATAATGGGAAAAAATATCTTAATAAGGGCATAATTTTAATTAATTTAATAATAAATTTACGATTATTGTCAATTATCGTGAATTGACACTGAATTTTCTTTGAAATTTAATTAAAATTACTAATTAGTTCTTTGTATTTTATTCTTTTCTTTAAATACTTTCATTTTTTTTGAATTTAATAATTTGCATAATTTAATTATTGTTATTAAGATGAAGAAGAAAATCAAAGATACAATCAAACTTACTACAAAAACCAAGAATGATCGATTTAGAGAAATCAATGGGACGACGCATATCGTGTTGAATGGTAGGAAATACCTGATGACCACTGAATGCAAACAGGAAAGTACCTAAGCTAACCACTGCACCACTAATTGAAGCTTTTGGATAATACGCTTCTGATATACATGCGCGTATATCTAAACTAATACCCAAAGCAATCAATAAAACCGCCATGACGGTACATAACATTGCAATTACAATTGCTAACCTGAAATGAAATGTTAATATACTATACTTTTAAATGAGTATAGAATTACATGGTAATGATAATACTTGCAATAAATATTAATTAAAGAGTTAATAAATTAGACAAGTTACCAAAAATCAGCTGGCGATTTGAGATATGTGAGCGGCATAATAGCAATGGTTATAACACATATCAAATAGCAAAGGCTAATATCAATGCCAAAAAATGATGCCAAAAAATGTTGAAAAATTTTAGTCGAAAGTAATATAAATACCACTGATGTGCCAAACATTGTCAAATAAACAATACGAGCAGCAATTATCCTGAAATTTGTTAGCGCAATACTTTGATATCAGGAAACGTTAATGAATGATAGTGATGAAAATTTGATTGATAATGATAATGATAATAAATAATAATTAGGAATAATAATATGATTATAATAATAAAAATGCAATCAAGAAAAATGATAATGATAATGATAATAATTGTACGAAATAGACAATTAAAAAATAAATTAAAAGAAAATTTTAAGTTTTTTTGAAGTTATTACTTCATCGTTTTTCCCATACTTCTCATCGCCATTTCGGTATATGGTTTACGACAGTGACTCTGATAAACCGGCCATCGTTGCTGCATAATGATCCAATTCTGGCTGAGTAGATGAGCCGTGTAAGCGAAAAATATTGTTATCACAACCATAAATATTATACCAATGACAAGCCCTACAAATAAATATTTGTAATATTAGGTTCTTTTATTTACCAATGTTAAATTATTATTGATTAATGTTGTAAAAAGATTTTTTGTTAGAGTAGTCATAATTAAAAATTGTTTAAATTAAAATATGATATAAATTGAAATTCAATTTCAAATTATACCGTTTCAAACTATCTGTTTATTCCTACAAACATTGAATATAGTTATAAATTAATATTCGAAAAAAATCACATAGCTAGCATTCATAATTAAGCATAAGTTTTATTTCCAAACTGAAATTTTCATTTCTATTTTCATAATTTCAATAAGTTAGCAAAAGGATTTGATGAAATAATTGCAAAAGAAAATACTAGATAAAGTTAAATATTATGGAATATTATTGCAGAAAAAGTTTTTACCTTTTCTTTTTTTAAAACGATTTACCTGTTTGAAGGAATGCAACGGGCATTGCTACAACTCCACCACCAACCATATCTGCAACGATGAAGAAAGCTGCAACGATCCATCCTAAACCTCGTCCTGACTGTGTTCGAACCACCATTACAATTTGTTGCTATTCAAAAAATTGATGCTTAAAATTATCAAAACTAAATATTCGGAAATTTTCGAGATAAAATTAAAATTATTTCTTAACATTTATAACGGATTAAAGATCAGTAACGTTTATTAACTGCAAGAATAATTCACAAGCATAAATATTGACAACATTTTCAAAGTTATCAAGAAAGCAACTGTCAGTAATTAGTATATCATTTAATCAATTTACTTGTCATTATAAAAATAAAAATTGATAAATGTAAATAATTTCAAAAATAATACTAATTTTTTTTCTGTGAAATTTTGCTCATTTTCAACAAATTGCAGAAAACTTATTTCTCATTAAGTAATTAATTTTCTTTGAAAAAATCTTTTATAACTAACTAAATTATAATTTTCTTATTTTTTCCTGTCATATTTGCATACTTCTCTACTTATACCTTATCATACTTATCATTTCAATTCTATGTTTGTTAAGTCAATTAACTATTTCAATTTTTATGAAAATTTTTTTGTAAAATATACAGGCTGGTTTTTAAATCAAAAAAATGTGAGGGGCATATTTGCATACTTCTCTACTTATACCTTATCATACTTATCATTTCAATTCTATTTTTATTAAGTCAGTTTATTGTTTCAATTATTATAAAACTTTTTTTTGCTAAAATATACAGGCTGGTTTTTAAATCAAAATATCAGGTATTCTGTATTATTTAATTGTAGTAACAATAAATTGAGAGAAGAAAAACGAAAAAATAAAATTACTGCAAATCATTCTGAATTTAAAAATTATTCCTCAAACATACATATTTATATATACATTTCCTTTTTCTAAATCAACCATAATAATTTGAAAATTTCAAATTTTTATTTCATCCATTTTTTTGGTGCAATTTAAAAATAAATTTATAATTCTTTTTTGTTATGGAAAATAATTTTAAAGACCAATTGAAATATTCTGGAAAGAATCATATAAATTTTACATTTGACATCCTATAAATATATATTTTTGAAATGAAAGAAAGAAAGATTGCTTCGATTGGTTGCAAAAATTAACATTACATTTTAGAAGGAAAAAGAAATAAAGATTGTTTCGATTGGTTGCAAAAATTAACATTACATTTTGGAAATCATTGTAACCAGTTTTTTGTTAATTGTTAATGCAAAGCAAAGAAAAGAGAAATTATCAAATTAGAAGAACGAAAGAGTAAAATGTTTTCAAATTAATTTTTAAAACAAAACACAATTAAAAAAAAGAGACAAATTACTAATATTTCTTTTTAAATTAGCAAAAATATTTTTTGAAAATAATTAAAAAAATTCTAACATTTTTCATTAATTCAATTAATATTTAAAACAAAAAAAAATACTGAAGTAATTAGAAAATTTTCAAATTAACCATTAAAATTCGAAATTTTGAAAAATAAATATGAAGCAAAAAAAATGAAAAGAAAATTTTCAGCAATTTGTTAAATTGAAATTTGATGATTCATTTTTTAATTGATGATATGAAATATGAAATATTTTTCTGATATTGTAATCATAATTATCATATAATTAATTATAATGAATAGCATTTTGAAAAATTTATTTTTAACCAATGATGATATTTGATAATGTCATTTGTTTAACAAATATTTAAATAAGAAAATTCTTATGTAAACATAGCAATTAATTAATAATCGATCATATCATTTATATGATATATGTTGTCAACAAAATTTGCTATCATTTAAAAATGTAAAAAAAAACAAAATCATAATATTTTCTTTACCAATGATCTAATAATAATAGTAAATCAGTGATGAGGAATAATAAGAAATATTGTTGACAGTTATACTTTCTTTTATCATTCCTAAATATTTTTGTGAAATAAAAGCAAGACATTTTGCAATTACAAATTACATTAATTTTTATTTTTGATGACTGCCTTTTGTTTTAGAAAAGAAAAATTAAACGAAAAATGAAAAGAATTATTTTTGCAAAAAATAATTTTATAACAAAATAAAATGAATAAATATTGATAAATAGTTTAGGTGATAAATGATAAGCTTCTATTTTTTTTATTACTGTCATTTAATGAAATGAAACCAACGTATAATGGAACTATAACGAAAGGAATGTAATTTATGTTATTGATAAGAGCCTTATTGGAATGATAAGTTTCACAAAACATTGGAATGTATTCGATACATATCAATAAATGATTAAATGATGCCGAAAAAAAAAGAGAAATGTAAAACAATTAATATTAATAAAAAATGAAATAGCAAATAAATTTACCGTATAATTATAATGGTAATGTTATTATTGATTTCAATTATTTAATATTATTTTTAAGTAACATTGGCAAGCTTTACAAATAAAAATATAAATAAAATACAAAAATATAAATAATAATCTTATGAAGGTAACGAAAAAAAGAAATTAAATAATCAAAATCAAATAATTATATTATCATTACTATTAAATGGATTATTTCCATTTTATGCTGATAACACTTTTCAATTATTTAATTTTGATAATTTAATTTTGAATATTAATTAGTTTCGAATTATGAAAAGATCGAAGAGAAAAAGGGAAAAGAATTAGCTAAAATTTTAATTCATTCAGTATAAATAAAATGAATGTAATTAAAAGGAAAATTTAATTGTTTCTCTTTGTTTTTGATAATAAATAAATAAATAACAAAAAAAACGAACTAATTACAAAATGCAAAACTAATTACATATTTTACATATGCAAAAATAATTAGAATGAATGGAAGAAAGGAATTCATTCCATTAAATTATCGCATAAAAAAGAATTAATTCAAATGTTTGCATTTTTGCAATAAATCAAATTTAACATTTAATGCGAAACTTTTTGTTACTTAAATTTTTCAGTTCGAAAAAGAAAATTTGGAATAAAAGAGAGGGAGAGAGAGAAAGAAAGAAAAAGAGAAAAACGAAGAATTTTATTGTATTTTCAACATTGTTGATAAATTATTGAGAGAAAAAGGAAAAAATATTTTAATATTTTAAATGTTTAATTTAATTAATTAAAAATTTGAAATTTAAAATTTTCTTTTAGCTATTCCGATAATCGATAAAAATAATTCAATTATATGTGAATTACAAATTTCCTACATTTTTTTCCCTATAAAATTTCAATATATATCACACGAAAATTTTCTCAAAAAAAACATTGCGTAGAAATGATAAGAAAAAGATAAGAGAAAGATAAAAAATGATAAAGAGAAAGATAAGTTTTGGCCGACAATTTATTGTGGAAAGAATTAAAAATAAGAGAAACGAATTTTCTTTTTGTTTAATTTGATTAGTTATCATTTAACATTAGAATTGATTAGTATAGCTTTTTCTTCTTGAATCAAACGACAAGCATTAGAGAGAGAGAAAGAGAGAGAGAGAGAGAGAGAGAGAGAGAGACTGAGCAGTATTTTTGTTTTATGTGAAATTTATTGTTATAATTAATTTAATATAATAAAAAAGAAAACATTTACAAAATGCTATGAAATCTTTTCAGCAAATTCAAATGCTTTTATTAATAAAATTTTTAACAACATTTCATTTCTTTATTTCCTCCAAATATTTTAATGTTTGAAGTTTGAATTCCGAAAACGTTCTTTTCACCAATTTTTTCGATTTAAAAAATTTTTGAATATCGAATATTGAAAAAAGCCAATTACGCTAATAGTTGTTGAATGATACATTCTTTTCTAACAAAATTGTAATTTTAAATGGATCATTAAACTGTAATTTTTAATGGATCATTAAATGAATGTAATAAAAATGCATTGAAAAAGATATTATATGCTTGATGGAAACTTTATAGCAAAAAAAAAGTGATGGAAATTTTTACGACGATGAAAAATCCGGAGTTAGAAAAAGCACTCATTCTTCACCAATTTCGTTTTCATCATCATCTTAATATTTGAAGATGATTCACGCAGATATCAGAAATTAAAACATTATTGGAATTAATATTATCATTATTATTATTGTCATTATTTATTATTATTGTAATTGTTATTAATATTATTATTTATTATTAATTGTTATTATTGTCACTACTTATCATTACAAGCATTATCACTTATTGTTATTATTATTGCTACTATTTATAAATAATAATTATTATTACTACTTATATTATTAATATTGTTACTATTTCATCACAATTATTATCATGTTAGCGCATCACAGATAGCTTTTTTAACACATAGTTTTGTTTCATTATTGCATGAATGGTAAAAGGATTATATTAAAATGCCTCATTTTAATCACTGATGGATAAATATGAACTGATAATAAAATACTTTTTTCATTTGACAATTTCCACGTAAATTAATCATTACCTACAAATAACAAAGATTTAAGGCCAACAAAGGATTAGAAGTAAGAAATTGGATTGAGTGAAATAACGAAGCGGAAGGAAAAGAGAATACGGAAATACTGAAATATATGAGAAACACTGAAATATATGGGAGAAGAAATCATCGATGCGATCAGTTCATTCAAATAGCCAATGAATGGATAAATAAGAATGATTTAATGAAAATGACTCCAAAATAAAACAAAGAGATAAAGGAAGTGGACAGTAGAAGAGATGAGAAAAAAGAAGGACTAAAGGAAAGATTAGCTTCTAATAATCGCCTTTCCATGATTTCGACTGTCACCTTCCATTCTCAATCATTTTCTTTGGTGGAATGTGATGCCTTGAAGAAAAATGTTTTAATTAAAACGATTGCCCGAATTTTTCGTTGAAGACTTTCCTTATAACGTCATAGTTTTCTGAAATTATGTCGCAGCCATTAGAGGCTGGCTACTAAGGCGTCTCCATTAAAACGTGCAGTTAGATAATTTAATTTTTGAATATCTGGAATTTTTGCAGATGCTCTGCAGCATCGAAACTATTCCATAATCCTGTCCATAATTTTGGATTACTATTGAAAGCAGGCAGTGGTAATTGAGTGAAATTCACAGTTGGGATGGTATGCTCTTT